CTTAAACAAAGGAACAACATTGGCTATTCTCCAATTCTCTGGAACCTCCCCTGTAACCAGTGAGGATACAAAGATTTCTCTCAAGGCCCCAGCAATTTCCTCCCTTGCCTCTCTCAGTATTCTGGGGACTGGGGACGTGTCTACCTTCATGTTTTTCAAGAACCCCAATACCCCCTCCCTTTTGATCTCGACATGACCCAAACTATCTACACACCCTTCCCCAGACTCATCATCCAGCAAGTCCTTCTCTATGGTGAATACTGACACAAAGTACTCATTGGAAATATGGGAAATTGTGAGAATATTCACTTTGGACATAAGAACAGAAATGCAGAATGATTTTAAAATATGTGAAACATGTAAATGTTAATATTCAGAGAGCCTTAGGTGCACTTGTACAAGGAAAACAAAAACATAGCAAGCCATTCAGAGAGCAAATCTCATCTTGAGCACTTATTGGAAGAGAATTGGAGTACAAGAATAAAGATGTTTTGCTACTGGTACAAGGCTTGTACTAGGCTATTGTGAGACCATACCTGAAATACTGGCTCAATGAAGGTACACGAGATTGGTCCCTGTGATGACAGGGTTGTCCAGTGATGACAGGCTGAGATAATTGGGATTGAATTCTCTGGAGTTGAGAAGAATAAAAAATGACCTCAAAAAGAGCTTAACAATTCTGAAGAAGGGTCTAGACCCGAAATGTCAGCTTTCCTGCTCTTCTGATGCTGCTTGGCCTGCTGTGTTCATCCAGCTCTACACCTTGTTATCTCAGATTCTCCAGCATCGGCAGTTCCTACTATCTAGGTAATGGGAGGTTGTTTCCCCAATGCATATTCTAGAACAAGGGAGCAGAGTCTCAGGATAAGGGAACAATCACTTAGGATGACAGAAGGAGAAATATCTACACTTGAAGGGTTGTAAATCTTTGCAATTCTCTACTCCAGTGGGTTCTGACTGCTCCAGTATTGAACATATAAGGCTGATACTGACAGGCTTCTCAAGGAATTAAGGAACTTGGGGAGTGAGTGGGAAAGTGGAGTTGAAGCGCAACATCAGCTATGATTACAATGAAAGGCAGAGCAGGCTCGATGAGCCATTTTGGCTTCCCCTATTTTTCTTAAGTGAAAGGGAAGTTGATAGAGGTGCCTCGATGTTGGCCTGGTTGAGAATGCTAGTGTTGGTGCATCTTTCTTCCCGGCAGATTCGCAGGATCTGGCACAGGCAGCGTTGGTGATACTGATCCAGCACCTCGAGCTGTCTGCTGTAGACAGTCCACATCATATTGGAGGGCCATATAGGAGGGCAGGAACCACCACAGCTCTGGAAACCACAATCTTGGTGTCGGATCTGACGTTCTTGTCCTCGAACACCCTTTTCCTCAGGCAGCCGAAGCCTGCGCTAGCACACTGGAGGTGGTGTTAAATCTCTTCATCAACAGCCGCTTTGTCCAACAGGACACTCCCGAGGTATTGGAAGTGGTCAACATTCTCTAAGGCCTCCCCATGGACCTTGATGATTGAGGATTCGCTCTGCAAAGCTGGGCCAGCTTGGTGGAGGACCTTCATCCTGCAGATGTTCAGGGCTCACATATGCCTCCGTAAAAGTGCTGATGATGGTCTGGAGTGTGTCCTCTGAGATTGCACATATGCAAACATCATCTGTGTACTGCAGCTCGATGACATTGGTTGGGGCGACTTTACATTTTGGCTTGAAGACGGGGGAGTTGAATAATTTCCCGTGGATTCTATAAGTTAGTCACACTCCAGTGGGGAGCTTTTTGGCAGGGTGAGGTGAAGCATTGCAGGGAGGTAAGATCGAGAACAGTGTTGGGGTGATGATGCAGGCCCTGCGTCATTTTCTTTTTCCACACCGCAGGACTTCTATGATTCTTTAAATTGAATAAATACTTGGAGGACAAAAAAGTTGCAGGATATGTGGAAAGACCCAAAGAGTGAGTAAATAAAATGCTTTTCAAAAGAGTTGAAGCAGACAGACAGGTCAAATGGCCACTTTCTGTGCTACAACAATCCATAAATCTGTAAATGCAAAAATTGTAACAGTGGTCAATTTGGATTGAGAACTAATCTCACTCTTAGCAGAAGGAATATAACAGGCTCAGGAGGAAGGAGTGGACATAGAAAATATTTTCTTTTGCCACAAAGCAAGGGATAAAACCATTTCATCAATTGCTTTCCCCAGCTCTGAAAGTATATTTGTTAACTCATGCAGACTATGATTATGAGATTTACCTCAGTTTGGCTCAGTAGACATTGCACAATTTGTTTTACCTCCTTTGCCCTGTGCAATTGAAAGTTCAAGATGGTCTTGCAGTACAATGTTGCACCACAACTGTAAATTTTGAAACAACTGCAACTTTTATCCATACAGTCCCTTTAACACAGTAAACAGGTAAACACGTAAAACAGAGTATAGCAGGTTTGAGTTGTTTAATTAACTACTCAGCTGTTATGTTCTTATGTATCAGATTAGTTGGATCTTAATGCAGTGTCCAACATTAACCCCTTCAGAATCATTATCTTATACAATGGGAGAGAATTCCAGAACTTAATCCAAACTGCTGAAGGTATGATTGACTGATTAATTGATTGATTGGTTAATTGATTGTTTTGATTTATTGTCATGTGTACCCAAATACAGTGAAAAGCTTTGTTTGCGAGCATTGCAGGCAGATCATAGTAAGCAAGGACATACAGATCAGAGGGTGAAAAAAGCTTAGACAGAGTGAGGCATACAGGACGTGCACGAGACAGGGGCAACATTAATAAGATCAACATTATTTGAAGTTAGAGAGTCTATTCATCAGTCGAATAATGGCAGGGAGAAAGCTGTTCTTGAACCTGCTGTTGCATGTGTTCACATTTGATACACTTGTGTGTATCTTCTGCCTGATGAAAGAGGTTGCAGGAGATCATTACTGGGGTGATCTTTGATGATGATGGCAGCCTTTCCACAACAAAGAGACATGTAAATAGAGTCGATGGATGGAAGGTTGGCTGATGGTTTGGGCTGTACTCACAACTTTCTGTATTTTCTTATGGTCCTGGCCAGAGCAGTTGCCCTACCAGGCCATTATGCACCCGGACATTATGCTTTCAATGGTGCATCTGTAGAAGTTGGTGAGGGGCCTTATGGACATGCCAAATTTCCTGAGCTGCCTGAGGAAGAAGAGGTGCTGTTGTACCTTCTTGACCATCATACCTACATGGGAAGTCCAAGACAGGCTGTCGGTTATCGTCACTCCTAGGAATTTGACGTTCTCAACCCTCTCCACCACAGCTCTGTTGATATCAATGGAGGCATGTCCTCTTCTTTTCTTCCTGAAGCCAATGATCAGTCCTTTAGCTTTGCCGATACTCAGACAGAGATTGTTATAATTGCACTATGTCACCAAGTCCTCTATCTCCTTTTTATGTTCTGACCCATCACTGTTTGATATCTGTTCTACCATGGTGGTGTCGTTAGCAAACTTGAGATGGCGTTCATTCGGAATTTGGCAACACAGTCGTGGGTGTCCAAGGAGTATAGTAGGGGGCTGTATGTACTTCCTCCAGTGATAAAGAATTAGAGCACAATCTTGATAATCATAAGTGTCAGTATGGTTTCGAACTCGGAGCATCAGCGTGGACCCGGACTCCCGGCCTCAGCGTGGACCCATACTCCCGGCTTCAGCGTGGACCCATACTCCCAGCCTCAGCGTGGACCCGGACTCCCGGCTTCAGCGTGGACCCATACTCCCGGCTTCAGCGTGGACCCATACTCCCGGCCTCAGCGTGGACCCGGACTCCCGGCCTCAGCATGGACCCACACTCCCGGCTTCAGCGTGGACCCATACTCCCGGCCCCAGTGTGGACCTGGAACCCCGGCCTCAGTGTGGACTGGGACGCCCGGTATCAGCGTGGACCCATACTCCCGGCCTCAGTGTGCACTGCGACCCCAGTCCTCAGCGTGGACACAGACTCCCGGCCTCAGTGTGGACTGGGACTCCTGGGCTCAGTGTGGACCCGACTCCCAGCCTCAGCTTTAACTATCTGCACTGTACTCATTTGAGCACATGTGACAATAAAGCTAATTCTTCTATTCTTGGAAAGCTTTTGGAATATTCACTTGCCTGCTCTGGACAAAAGGCGAGTGTTAATAACAGCATCCTCTCCAATATATTGCATTACCAACTGGTTGTGTACATTGTCTGAGAGTCGGGGCATTGTGAACAATGAGTAAATATTTTTTAAAAATTCTTTCCGATATACTGTTCTGTTATAGATGTTGATACTTTTAATCAACCTGCCCAGCTGTATAATACCACACCTCTGAAGCGGAATGGAACTATATTCTTTTGTGTATGCGTACAGATACTATACATCCAAAAGGCCAAATCACTGATTATTGGCTGCAGTCAGAGTACCAAAAGAACAATGTATGATTCCATAGCACATGCTAAGAAACACATTCAACGTCTGTGCAAATGACATTATGATTATTTCAAACTTTGGGAAGCACTAAGGCATTAAAATATACTGGAAACATTTATTCAAATGTTAAATCATAAAACCCAGTCAACAAACTCAGATTTCAGATTTCCAATAAACCTGTTTAAAGTAACCAAGAACTTCAATTTTTTGGCAAGTTACATTTTAATAAAAACAATTTTTAAAAAAGCAGGTAAACAGATTGATTTTGTCGGTATTGTTTTGCAAGCTGATACTGAAAGGTATACTCCTTTTTTCTCTATCTAGTTGATTTCAGTAAGCATGCTTGTGCCTCGACTGGATTTTAGCATTCATCTGCTTATATTATCATAATCTTGAGAAGAAACTAAGCAAAGAATTATGACCTGTGAGAATTCATTTGGCTTTCCTGATAAATGCTCTATCTCTACTGAAAGAGAACATATTTTTTTCTTCCAGCGGAAGGTAAATAGTCAGGCTTTGTTAATAATCACCTGTTCTTTAAGGATTCCCTCCTCCCCTCCCCTCCCCCTCTCCCCTCCCCCCTGTAGCTTCAGTGTATCTCTGTTGTAGATGTATCGTGAAGTGTTAAACTCTATTGGCTATCTCTTTCCAAGATAACTGATCAACTGAGAGGACAAAGGGACCTCTTTGTGATAAGGTCAGTCATTTAAAAACTAAAGTAAAAAAGCTTTGTGCAAAGTGCTAATTTTGTCTGTGCTCAACCCAGTGATGTTTGAAAATCTATGTTGATTTTAAAGGACACTCCTTGCGCCTTTGAGGCACGGGAGAGACTGATCCACCAAGAGGCCCCACATGTTGCTGCATCAAACAAGATGTTCGGGATTGTTCTGCTTCACTGAGGCAGAAAGACAGCGAATTACCCTTGTCACGGAAACTTTTCCGAATCTTTCATAGCCTTTCTGCCGCAATTCGATTCGTCTCTGTTTAAAGCCACTCACTGTTAGAATTCCAAAATGTTTTAAACTCTCATTTAAACTCTCATCACTTGCTGAACTGAGAGTTAGGCAGAAGCTACTCCAAAGAAAGAAGCACCCATCAAAAGGAGATTGCGTCCTGGAAACAAGAGTTTGCTAAATTCTCCATCGAGAATGTAAGTGATTCAAGGCAGGAAAGTGATATTGAGGGTCTAATCTGTGATTACATTGAGAGATAAGCCACAACAACTGTTTTAGATAAAACACAGGTGTTTTACTGCTGCTCTGAACAGCTACACTTTTCAATAATTGCAATAATAATGTTATCTCTTTATGAACGGAATCCAACAGTGAAATGTAATGCAATTTGTCTTTAAGATGATGAAGATTTTCACTGAGAACAAAATTCTTAATTACTTTTCTGGAACTAGCCGTTTGGCTCAAAAATACTTCTCCAAGAGTTTTAAGGAAATACTTGACATCTTAATACTCCGGAATTATCTGTGTATGCAAGATTTTGCTTTGTACCTGGTGCTAAAATAGACTTGGTTCTGGTGCTGTGGTCTGCACTCCTAGTTAATAAAACAGTTGTAACATATGGATGGTGGCAATTTATGGAATCAGACTCGTTGAGAGACCATACTTACGTTCAAATGCAATAATGCCTTGTCTCTCAATGTAAAATTAAAATTCACCAGGGAGAAGTGTGTAGTTAGAATTTACCAAATGTATTTTAAATCTCTTTGTACACTATTATTCATTAATAATTTCCTGATGGCCAGACTAAAATATTGCAAATTACACATTAATAAGATATCATTAATTTACCCACAACAATGATTTGTCCAGTCAAGCATCTCCACAATCTTAACATCTACTGATTTATAATCCCAATATCAAATGGAATTTAAATACCCTGCAGCGACTTCTATATTCTTTTGTGATTGCTGTCTAAATCTCTCTGGATTAGACACCACAACTGTTTGTTCAGGTTTCACACTTCTAACATGTTGCCAAGTTTCAGTGATCCCCTTTTGCTAAAATCCAGGCAAACATGACATTCTGACATTTCAATCAATACTTTGTTGTGTGAAAGGACTGAAACTATAAATGTGCATGAAACAAGGCCTTGTATAGCCTTAGCGTTCCTCAATGTTTGTCCTAAAACATTCGAAAGGTTACAGCACGGAAAGAGGCCATTCAGCCCATTATATCTACGCTGGCTTTAACTATTACAGCATGCTGCTGGCTGGAATCCCACACTTTTGCCCTCTGTAAACTTGAGAATATTGATTTGGCCACTTTTGGAATATTGTGTGCAGTTCTGGTCTCCCTGCTATAGGAAGGATGTTGTTAAACTTGAAAGGGTTTAGAAAAGATTTACAAGGATGTTGCTGGGGTTAGAGGGTTTGAGCTATACGGAGAGGCTGAATAGGCTGGGACTATTTTCCCTGTAGTGTCGGAGGTTGAGGGCTGACCTTATAGAGGTTTTAAAAATCATGATGGGCATAGATAGGGTGAATAGCCAAGGTCTTTTTCCCAGGGTAGGGGATTCCAAAACTAGACAACATAGGTCAAGGTGAGAGAGGAAAGATTTAAAAGGGACCTAAGGGGCAACGTTTTCACAAGGAGGGTGGTGCGTTATGGAACAAACTGCCAGAGGAAGTGATGCTGGAGGGTACAATTACAATATTTAAAAGACATTTGGATGGCTATATGAATAGGAAAGGTTTAGAGGGATGTGGGCCAAATGCTGGCAAATGAGACTAGATTAATTTAGAATATCTGGTTGGCATTGATGAGTTGGATTGAAGGGTTTGTTTCCATGCTGTACATGTCTATGACTCTATAACTCAAATGCCCATGTCTGAACTCGTATTAAATCATGTTCCCCTCTCATCTGTATGTTCATTGATCTACATCGGCTCCCAGTCAAACAGTATCTTGATTTTAAAATTCTCGTCCTTGTTTTTGAATTATTTCTTAGCTTAGTCTCTCAAAACTCTCTGAAATATCTGCACTCCTTTAATTCTGGCCTCTTGAACCTTGCCAATTTTAATTACTCCAATGTTGGTTACCAGGCCTTCAGTTAGCTGCACACTAAGCTCTGAAATTCTCCACCTTCTCCAGTCTATCTCTTTACCTTGCATTCCTCTTTTAAAACTTAAAACTCATAATGCTTAATAATCCCTTAAAACCTGCCTCACTGAGCAAGGTTTTGATAATCTTATCTAATCTCACTTTATGTTGCTTGATGTCATATACTATAATGCATTTGTTTAATGGTAAAAATGATAATTCAATCGTAACTTTTAAAAACACCTTGGGATGTCTTTTACCATTAAAACTGCTATTTAATTATAAATTGTTCTAGCAAACCTGTCTCCTTGGCAATTATTCATCTGCTGTTTGTCCTAGCAATGTACCCCAACATGCTATTTGTGTTTTCTATGGTTTAGGACCCTGTATGTAGTCTTTCAATATGGTGCTGACACTGATGCTTATATTCCTGTATAGCAAGTGTGTGTCATGTACACATGCCCAGAAATGCCCAAATGCAAATACATTACAGTGCATTTATGCACATGGACATTTTACATTAGGAGTTTGGCGGGTGAAAATGAAAGGAACTGTTCAACCTACATTCTTGACCTATTTTAACTTTCAATAAAAGTTTTACAAATCTAGAGTTTTGGCCATTTATCTTAATTTGACAAGCTATACCCCAGGTAGTTTTTTTTTTACCTTTAGTATTGATTACAAAGAAGAATGGGGCAATTTTTTTCTACAGCCACTAAATGTTGAAAGCCTTTTTCTGTTCTCTCAGATTACAGATACTGTAGTGCGATGATGAGACTTCATGGCTACATCAACCACAGAACCGACCCTGTTTCCATGGCAATTACCCAGCTGGCCCTCCTTGTTTCCATTGGCTTCAATCAAGCACTGCGTCAAACTGTGAATCCATTGAGAGAGAACTCCCCCTTCACTGCTCTGTGGAATGCACCCATCGAACTATGTGAGAGCAAATTTGATGTTACTGTAGACCTGAGCCTTTTTGAAGTCATCGGTAGCCCTATAGAAACTGCTACAGGGCAACCCATCACAATATTCTACCACAATAGGCTTGGTTATTATCCATACTATGACGAGATAACTGGAGAGTCATTTAATGGTGGTATCCCCCAGCTGGCACCCTTCGACCTTCATTATGCGAAGGCAGCTGAAGATTTTCAGTATTACATTCCTTCAAAAGAGCCTCCTGGAATTGCAATAATAAATTGGGAAAACTGGAGGCCTCAATGGATAAGAAACTGGGACCAGAAGGATATTTACAGGACAAAATCAGTCGAGCTGGTTATGCAACGAAACCAGTTGTTAAACCTGAGTGATGCAATTGTGATCGCCAAGAAGGAATTCGAAGAGCAGGCAAAGAACTTAATGTTAAACACTTTAAAATTAGGCAAGTCATTAAGACCAAATCACTTCTGGGGATATTACTTGTACCCAGAGTGTTACAATTACAACTACAAGGATAATAATAGTAACTACTCAGGGAGTTGTCCTGATATTGAAATAGATAGAAACAATGATCTTCTCTGGCTGTGGAATGAGAGCACAGCACTGTTTCCATCCATCTACCTGCAGACAATGCTCCGAGCTTCAGTCAATGCTGCTAAGTTTGTACGACACCGGATTCAGGAAGCAAAGCGAGTCGCATTGCTTTCCAAACAGGAATATTCACCTCCTTTGTATGTCTACACGCGGCCAGTTTTTACCAATGCTGCCAATGACTACCTATCTGAGGTAAATTACATCAGACTAACAAGAAAAACACTTATGGTATTTGCCAAAATTAGTTGAAAGATTAACAATTTCTTGCAGTTTCTGAATGTTACAATCAGAATAAAACATGAAAACTTTGGAATGGTGCATGTGATATCAATTAATTCTAATCATAAGGAATTATTTTCTTCAAGTCAACTATAAAATTTATTGTTTTTCTGCAAACTTTCTCCTTTTGCAGATTGACCTTGTCCATACCATTGGGGAAAGTGCGGCTCTGGGAGCGGCTGGGTTTGTGTTGTGGGGCAGTTTGAGTATGACTGAAACAGAGGTAAATATGCATGATGTTTACCCGTTTATGAGATTTGTCATATGAGTTTTGTCATATTGTACTTATTTGGAATTGTCAAAGCCAGCTCTCTGTACTTTTATTACAGAGTTATTGCAGTACCTGGGGTGAAACCAAGTAAGACAAAATTTTGTAGCTCCAAGTTTGATCTACAGCAATGGCATAAGTGACATTTGGCAAAGCAGAGGTAGGGATGCTCATTAATGCTTGGGTGGATGGTGAAAAACAAATTCAGCCATGATTCATACTCATTCTAATCAGTCACCCTCACTGGAAAGTGCACATCCATGGTGTTAGTTTGGAAGAGATGGTTAGATCATTTAATTTAGTTACACGTGGTTGTTCCCACTTCCTTAAGAGTCTCATGGTGGCTCAGTGGTTAGTGTTGCTGTTTTGCAATACTAGGGTCCTGGGTTCAGTTCCACCCTCAGGGGATCTGTGTGTGTGGGTTTCCTCCCACAGTCCAAACATGTGCAGGTTAGGTGGATTAGCCTTGGGAGATGCAGTGTCATAAGAGGTGGGATGCTTTATGGAGGGTCAGTGTGAACTTGATGGGCTGAATGGCCTTTTCCCACACTTTAGGGATTCTATGAAATTACCCAAACCCTTTCCTACTCATGCTTTAGTGATGATCCCATCAGGCTAGAGTGGGACTCTGAGGTAATGAATAAAATTAAATTGTATTAAGCATGATCAAATAAAACATTGCACTTATTGAATCTAATAACTAAGTCAATTGAACCAATGAAAAACTGGTAGAGTGGGATTTCCACTCCCTCAGAATTTGAGAGTAGTAGTGGGAATGATGGCTCCATTGGGTAGGAGTCCAAAAATCAACAGTCTGACTGTTGTAATAAACTTTTGCGTTTAAGTCCTCCCTCCTTCCAAGAGGAAATTATTTCCTTATCTTCATATGACAAGAAGCCTAACTATATGCATTTGCTTTTCTTTAACTGCACAACTCTTTTGAAATTAACTTCCCTTCCCAGTTAACCTCTGACCAACTTGGATAACCAAACATGCACCTGTCGACATTGGCCTTCTGCTTCCAGTGCAGGAGAGTCCACAGCTTCGTCTGCCTCTAATGAAACCCCAATATTCTATGTCTTCACTTTTGCTGTGACCTCGACAATAGCAACAGACAATTTGTGACAGAAAGGGTCATTTAAAACAGAAGGAAAGCGGGCAGCTTGTGGTAGAGAGAGGGACATTTTAGTGCAGGAGGAAGGCATTAGCACATGGCCAAAGGAAAGAGTAAAGCATCAATTTGAAAAAGGAAGTACATCTGGTTGAAGAGCACAGTGAAGCATTAGTTGGGTGGCATGGTGGCTCGGTGGCTCAGTGGTTAGCACTATTGCCTCACAGTGCTAGGGTCCTGGGTTCGATTCCATCCCCAGGTGACTGTCTATACTGAGTTTGCATGTTCTCCTTGTGTCTGGGTCATGTGTTCTGGTTTTCTCCCACAATCCAAAGACATCCAGGTTAGGTTGATTGGCCATGCTAAATTACCCATAGTGTCCAGTGATGTGTCGGTTAGGTGGATTAGCTGTGGGAAATGCAGGGTTACAGGGATAGAGTAGGAGGTTGGCTCTGGGGGAATACTGTTTGTTGGGTTGGTGTGGACTTAATGGGCCAAATGGCCTGCTTCCACATTCTAGGGATTCTACAAATTCACAGGACATCTGGTTGAAGGGCACAGTGCTGCATCAATATCAGATGTGGTGTGCATGACTGTAAGTAAATACAGTTCAACTGCATGAAGAGTGTGGTGATGTGTGAATGGGAATCTGTAATGGGTGGAGCGTGGACTCCAGTCAGTCAGAGGGTATCATAAGAGTTAGTCCAGGAGCCTGGCCATCCCTACTTCTAGAGTTGGCTAAGATCACACAGGAGGTTGGTCTAAATCCCGGGGACCAGTTCCCTTTCGATCACTGTAGCAAATGCATATTCTAAAGCTCACCATTTTGTCCTGAAAATCAACTGAAGACTCAAGCTTTCGGAGCCTCACTCCTTCTTCAGGTGCCAGTGAGAGAGATGGCATCAGTGTCCAATACCACCTCTCTCACAGACACCTGAAGCAGGAGTGAAGCTCCAGAAGCTTGTGTCTTCAAATAAACCTGTTGGACTATAACCCGGTGTGGTGTGCTTTTTGACCTTGCCCACCCCAGTCCAAAACCAGCACCTCCACATCATGAAAATCAAGTGTAAAATGAGCGTTCAATGTCAACAAAGCAGCACTCACAGTGAGAGGGGTCCCAACCAGAAATGTCAACTTTCTTACTCCTCTGATGCTACCTGGCCTGCTGTGTTCCTCCAGCTCCATACTGTGTTATCCCTGACTCCAGCATCTGCAGTTCTTACTATCTTGGAGGTGCAAATTACTTGTGTTTTAAAGGGGTGGAGTTCATGCTAGAATGTGAAGCCACCTACAGAGCTATTCCAGCAATCAGGAGATTATTCAGTCCTAATCACCTGGTTTCAGGTCCCACTTAATTTCTCAAGAAGGGTCCTGACCCAAAACGTCAACTTTCCTGCTCCTCTGATGCTGCCTGGCCTGCTGTGTTCCTCCAGCTCCACACTGTGTTATCTCTGACTCCAACATCTGCAGTTCTTACTATCTCTGAGTGAGTTATAAACTGAGGCTTGTCAGCTCTGAACATTTGTGAGCTGCCTGTGCAGTGGCGGAGTTCGACTAAGTGATCCCAACCGTGAGTGTGAGATACCAGAACGCAGTGGCTCAGTGGTTAGCACTGCTGCCTTACAGTCCCAGAGACCCAGGTTTGAGTCTAGACTTGGGTGACTGTCCGTGTGGAGTTTGCACATTGTCCCCATGTCTGCATGGGTTTCTTCTGGGGGCTCTGGTTTTCTCCCACAATCCAGAGGTGCGTAGGTTAAGTGGATCGGCCATGGGAAATGCAGGGTTAGAGTGTTGGGTGGGATGCTGTTTGGAGGGTTGGTGTAGATTTGATGAACCAAATGGCCTGTTTCTACTGTGTGGAGATTCTGTGATTCAACACAATCTGGTTTCTTTGTTTTGTCAGATGAGCAGCATAGTTGTATTGTGAAGAGCCTTTAAAATAGCCAATTTAACTAAACTAAACATCTAAAAGGCAGGTTTCCTTATGGTGGATGAAAGTTCAAAAATTAAGAAAATATGAAATGAGTAAGTGATCAGTGAACTGCGAGATTCAGTGTAACTCAAATCTATTATAGGGATTAATTTAAAATAGAATAGTTTAACAGCAAATGTTCATATATTTTTTGCTTTCTAACTTTTCCTCAGAGTGGATTACTTGTTACAGAACTTTGCCCAATTGAATCCAATTGATCGTGTCAATCTATTCCATCATTTATGTCTGGGCAGCAACATTGTGATTTACCCCCAGCCTGTTTACAGGATATCACAAGGTGCTGGGTCTTTCACTTTGTTAAATTATGTAATATAAACTCAGCATTGTAGATCTAGCACTGGATGTCATCAATGCTTTATTCTACCAGCATATTATGTCATGGATTCTTGTCAGAAAATAAATTTAGTTGAGCCAGTTCTTTTTGTCTCAGTTTTCTGGGAATATTGCCTCTGAGTTTCAAGCTTCTGGGTTCAAGACCCCTTCCAGAGTTTGAGTACAAAAATTAAATCTGACACACTGTGAGATGCTGCACTGTTAGAGGTGCATTCCATCACATTAGAGTTAAGGCCATCTGCCTGCTTGGGTGGATGTGCCACTGTGTATAAAGGGGAGAGGGATATGTGTTTGGTGGTACCATCCTGCTGGAGGTGGCCAAAATGGTGGTGGCTGATCCTTTGAATGTGGAGGTGGTGGGGTGGAATTTGAGAATAACGAGAACCCTCACGATCCTGAAAGGGAGGAAAGGCGTGAGCACAGAATGTGGGAAAATTTGTCCAACCTGGCTGAGGGTCCTGTCAGCCATAGTGTGCGGGATTCCTTGGCTGAGGATAAAGGAAGACACGTCAGAAGCATCCTGATTGTGGAAGGTGGCATCATTGGCACAGATATAATGGAGACGGAGAAAGTAGGAGAATTAATGGAGTCCTTACAGGAAGCATGGTGTGAGGAAGTGTGGTCACGGTAGATGTGAATATCAATGGGTATATTATTGGATATTAGAAGACAACTTATTCATGGAAAAAGAAATGAAGAAGTCCAGAAAAGAAGAGTCAGAAGTGGACCAAGTGAAGGTGAGGGATGAATGGAAATTCAAAGCAAAGTCTTTAATTATATATTTGTTTTAGAATGTAGTTAACTCTTGTGGTGGAAGAGAGGCTTTCCAGCTGTAACTCTGTCTGCCATTTGCACTGAGAAAGATGCTAATGATGCATTTTGAGAAACTCTGTATATGTCAGAATGTGCAATTACAAGAAGCTGCAGGTCAAAATTTCAACTTTGAGCACTGGCTTTTAGGAAAAGCTGGGGTCTGCATAAAACAATAATGAAGCCACTTGAAGATGCAAAATACAGCCTTTCGGATATATGTAATCATGATATTGTGGAATATCTAATTTTCATGTTAAAGTGTACTTGAAACTTTAGCTGATCTCTCCTGACTGAAGAAAGAAAACATCAACTTAAAAATATATGTTTTGCACAATTGTTTGGCTCAATATTTCCTTGTTGAACTATATTTAGATGAATGGATTACAAGAAATAAATTCCAATTCTAATTAAAGTATTTACAGAAACCCCATCAGAATTTTTTTTGTTTGGCTAGAATACTTTTGAATAGGAGTTAATCTATTGTTAGAACTAATTATTTTAAAGATATGATACTGAGGCATAATGAGAATTTCAATAAAACCATTCATCAGATGAATTGTGTTTACACAATAAGCACTGTAATATGTTTTGTGTCAAGAGTCTTTTTACTTGGTCTAGGCATTGCCCTTCATTATAGAAGCAAAACCATGTTTAAAATCAAAGACAACCTTGGTTTGGAGGCTGAAATTTGCAAACAATTTACTGATATGCAACACCTGAGAAATTAATGAACAGCTTTGTTAACCTTGATTCTCACAGCTTTGAAGAGGTACTTCAAGGGGGCAATTCAGGTCAACAAATAAATGTCATAACTGAGAACAGGTGTCAAACCAACTATGCACAGTAGCAAAGGGCTATGCTTGTATTTTACTCAGTATTTATTGTGCCTCAGTAGTCTATAATTGTTAGACTTGGGAGAAATGTTTTGTAATTCTGTGGTTGTATTTTACAGAAGGTGTGTTTGGATGTTGCCAACTATGTTAAAGAAGTCCTGAATCCTTATATTGTTAATGTGACATCTGCAGCAAGGCTTTGCAGTAGAATACTGTGCCAGAAGAAAGGACGGTGTGTGCGAAAGAACTGGGCCTCCCCTGATTATCTGCACTTGAACCCTGCGAGTTTCCGAATCAGCCGAAGTGACAATGGATACACAGTCATGGGACGAGCTTCCTTTGAAGATATTCTCTTTTTGGCAGAGGCGTTCACTTGTCAGTGTTATGCAGGGCAGAAATGTGAGCCTGCCAGTGGCATTGTGAACCATATCACTGAATTGGATGCCTGTGTTAATCCTTACAATTGTATCAATTTAAATCCTTATATAAAATCGTCCACCAAATCAAACATTATTGATCCAACTTCAATCCATCCAACTTCTGCTATTTTTTCCCAAAATTCTGCTTGTTCTAAGTATGTTTCTGTATATTCCCCTTTAGCTACCATAATTTTTAGCGTACTTTACAAAATTCATCAAATGTGATTTTGTTTTCAACTATGTGCTCAATTCTGTCCAACTTTAATTACTAAGCACCTAGAACTTGGATTCTCACCGGGAATGCTGGGCTGTGACCTGTTGAAATAGTTCATTTAATGTATAAATGTCAATGTTCTTGTCCTTGGATATTACAGGATATCCTGTCCTTCAAATGATTGGTCAACTTGATAACTCAGCCTTTTGAGTACATCACTTTGAAGTAAAGTGTTGCATGTTTGTTTCCTCATGAGCCGTGTCAGTCAAGCTCATTGTTTTAGCTGGGTGAGTTCTGTCAGCACACAAAGAGCACACTGAATAGATTCCTACCAAATGGATTATGATTCAAAAACATGATCAATCTCTGTGGACAACTGTTTATGAACTGTGCAATATATCACAGAGATTAAATTGCGCTTTTTGATGGCACATTTATAACATGACTCAACAAATTCTATAATTAGAAATCAACCTCTGAGGACCCTGTAATCCTAAATTCTTCTTGTACCCTCAGAGAGAGCTGCCATTCAGAGGTTGGGGGTTGCTTCAGCACAAGTTAGGAAGGAAATATCAGCTTGAGTATTAAAGAGGGAGAAAATGTACTAGACAGAAAACTCCTCTACTTCTCTCTACTGACAGTATGCCACTCCTTCCCCAAACTCCGTTTGTTACTGTGAAGTCAGTTTCTAATGAAAACAGTAGTCTGTGCTGTAAATATCAACTGGTTGAACCATAATGTACTTGTGCGTTGAAGTCCTACTCCAGAATTTAAACACATTATCTAAGCTGACTTTATTGAAAAATCACTGCCTTTTTTAGCTGTTGAAGATACTGTTTGAAGGACAAATGTTGTCCTGTCTCTTTGTGAAATTTTGAATAGTGCCAAAGGCCTACTTTGTCTCAAAATGATCTGTGTCATAGTCATAGAGATGCACGGCACAGAAATAGACCCTTCAGACCAACTCATCCACGCCGACCAGATATCCTAAACTGATCTGCTACCATTTGCCAGCATTTGGCCCATATCCCTCTCAACAGTTGCTATTTATATACTCATCCAGATGCCTTCTAAATGTTGTAATTGTACCAGCCTCAACCACTTCCTCTGGCAGTTCATTCCATACATGCAGCACCCTTTGAAAAAGATGCCCCTTAGTTCCCTTTTAAATCTTGCCCCTCTCATCTTAAATATACGCCCTCTCATTTTGGACTCCCCAACCAGGGGAAAAGACCTTGGCTATTCACCCTATCCATACCCCTAATAATTCATAAATTTCTACAAGGTCGCTGCCTCAGCCTCTGATGCTCCAGGAAAAATAGCCCCAGCCAATTCAGCCTCTCCTTATAGCTCAAACCCTCTAACCCTGGTAACATCCTTGTAAATCTTTTCTGAATCCTTTCAAGTAACGCACCATCTTTCCTACAGCAGGGAGACCAGAATTGCACACAGTATTCCAAAAGTGGCTGAATCAATGTCCTGTACAGCCTCAACATGACCTCCCAACTCCTATACTCAATGCACTGACCAATAAAAGCAAGCATACCAAATTCCTTCTTCACTATCCTATCTACCTGCGGCTCCACTTTCAAGGAACTATGAACCTGCACTCCAAGGTCTCTTTGTTCAGCAACACAACCCAGGACCTTAGCATTAAATGTGCAAGTCCTGCCCTGATTGGCCTTCCCAAAATGCAGCACCTCACATTTATCTAGATTAAACTCCATCTGCTATTCCATGGCTTATTGGTCCATCTGATCAAGGTCCTGTTGTATTCTGGGGTAAGCTGCTTCGCTGTCCACTACTCCTCCAATTTTGGTGTCATCTGCAAACTTACGAACCATACCTCCTATATTCACATTCAAATCATTTATATAAGTGACAAAACATAGTGGACCCAGCACTGATCCTTACAGCACGCAAGTCGCAGGCCTCCAATCTGAAAAACGATCCTCCACCACCTCCATCTGTCTTCCTCATTCGAGCCAATTTTGTATCTTTTTCTCCTAGATTCCATGCAATGTAGCCTCATTAATCAGTCTACCATGCGGAGCCTTGTAGCATGCCTTCCTGAAGGCCATGTAGTCCACCGCTCTGCCCTCTTCAATCTTCTTCATCACTTCCTCAAAAAACTCAATCCAGTTAGTGAGACACGATTTCCCATGCACAAAGCCATCTTGACTATCCCTAACCAGTCCTTGCCTTTCCAAATACATGTAAATCCTGTCTGTCAGAATCCCCTCCAATAACATGCCCACCACCAATGACAGGCTCACCAGTCTATAGTTCCCTGGCTTTTCCTGACCACCTTTCTTAAATAGTGGCACCACATTAGCCAACCTCCAGACTTCTGGCACCTCACTCATGGCTATTGATAATACAAATATTTCAGCAGGGGGCCCAACAATCACTTCTGTAGTTTCCCACAGAGTTCTAGGGTACACCTGATCCAATCCTGGGGATTTATCCACCTTTATGCATTTTAAGACATCTGGCACCGTCTCCTCTGTAATATGGACATTTTTCAAGATGTTGCTATTTCTTTCCCAAAGTTCTCTAGCTTCCATATCCTTTTCCACAGTAAACACTGATGCAAAATACTCATTTAGTACCTCGCCCATCTCCTGTGGTTCCACACATAGGCAGCCTTCCTGATGTATAAGGAGCCTTATTCTCTCCCTAGTTACTTTTTGTCCTTAATGTATTTGTAGAAACCCTTTGGATTCTCCTTAACCACAAGGTTATTTCATGTCCCCTTTTTGCCCTCCTGATTTCCCTCTTAAGTATCCCCTACTGTATTCTTCTAGGGATTCACTCAATCCCTGCTGTCTATACCTGACAATATGCTTCCTTCCTTTTCTTGAATAGGCTTCAGCATCTTGATCATGATTACTTACAGGAGATCTGGTGTAGGCAGCGGTTTAGTCCCTTGAACTCTTCTGCTTTCTATCAAGACTACTATAGCTGCTTCACAGTTGCTTCACATGTTTCTCTTATATGTCATTATCTTAATCTGCAAATGTTCAGTACATGCAAAATGTGTAAATTGTGCAGCTTATCCATTTGTTATTCCATTGAAGTAATTTAGCAAAGGAATACATCCATGGATGGATAATGCCAGTGTATGCTGGGTAGTGCTAATGGGTGGGGCTACAACAAATTTTCCTAGATTTCTTATCAATTCTACAGACTGCTAACAAAGCATGGCCGCAAGAAACCTAATCTTCAAGACCATGGAGATTGCTGTTGATCTTGAACAGTGGATTGCATTCATTGTTTAGGCAGTCAGCATATTTGTCATCTCCTAGGAAATAGGAGTAGGCCATAAAGCCCATTAGTCCTGCTCCACTCTCCAGTAAGCTCATGGCAGATCTAATTCTGGACATATTCCATTTCCCTCCTGTCCTGCTAATCCTTTATTCCTTTGTAGTTCAAAAATCTGATCAATTTAGTCTTGAATATATTCAATGATCCAGCTTTCACTTCTCTCTAGGGAATAGAATTTCAAAGATTAATGTCTCTCCACCAGAAGAAATTTCTCCTGGGTCTCAAACAGGACTTTAAAAATAAATAAATAAAACTGGCCCCAGTTCTAAATCCCCCCACAAGGAGAACCTTTCTCTTAGCATCCATCCTGTCAATGCCCCTTAGAAAATTCTCCATTTCAATAAGGTCATAGTCCATTCTTCTAAACTTCAATGACTCCTGACCCAACATGCTCAAACCTTTATCATACAGTGACACATTGATTAGCACTGCTGCCTCACAGCACTAGGGACCCAAGTTCGATTCCAGCCTTGGGTCACTGTCTATGTGGAGTTTGATCATTCTCCCCATGTCTGCATGGGTTTCTGCTGGATTCTCCAGTTTTCACCCACAGTCCAAAGATGTGCAGGTTAGGTTGATTGGCCATGATAAATTACCCTGTAGTGTCCATGCTGTGTTGATTAGCCATGGTAAATATGGGGATGGGGTGGGACTGGGTGGGATGTTCTTTGAGGGTCATAAGAACATGTAAGAAATAGGAGTAGGCCATCTGGCTCATCAAGCCTGCTCTGCCATTCAATAAGATCATAGCTGTTCTTTTCATGGACTCCACTCCACTTACCTGCCTGCTCACCATAACCCTTCATTCCTTTACTGTTCAAAAATCTATCTATCTTTGCCTTAAAAACATTCAACAAGGTAGCTTCAACTGCTTCCCTGGCAGGGAAGGGAATTCCACGGGTCAGTACAGACTTGGGCTGAATGGCCTCTTTCTGCACTGTAGGGTTTCTATTCTATGACTGAAGAATCAGCCTATTGCATCTCCTCTGGGCTGCTTCTGGTGCAGTTCTAAAGACAAAGTGCACACTTTAGGTGACATCTCACAAATCCATTGTACAGTTGGACAGGTGTCTCCCTGGTGAGTCTGCTGCTATTTCAGTGGAACTTTGAAATTATGTCTGGTTTCATGTTGCACAATTGCACGTGGATGCATCCTCTTCTTTATTGAGTCAGGTTTCACATTCCTTGTGCATGTGGAGTTATCCCAGTGTTTAGGGCTCTGATTGAAGTTCAGAATCGACTGCTGTGACATGCTGCTACATGGAATCTGAGGGGAGGTCACCGGACCCGAAATGTTAACTCTGATTTTCTCTTCACAGATGCTGCCAGACCTGTTGAGCTGTTTCAGCCACTTCCGTTTGTGTTCATGGAATCTACAGCCTTCAGTTTTAAAGGTGCTAACTAATGGAGACAATCTGAAGTAATATTTTCACACAGTGAGCTAAGGACTTGCTCTGCCACACGTACTGATTGATGGTGTATCGATCAGTCTTGTGTTTGCTGACACTGCAGCTGCAGAAGCACATGCCTTGCACCTGCAAATGCCGTGCCCGTGGAGACACTGATGGTGATGGCTGTTCATGTATAGAATCATAGAATTCCTACATTGAGGAAACAGGCCCTTCGGCCCAATAAGTCCACACTGACCCTCAGACCATCCCACCCAGACCCATCTCCCTATAACCCACCTAATCTACACATTATGGGCAATTTAGCATGGCCAATCCACCTAGCCTACACATCTTTGGATTGTGGGAGGAAACCGGAGCACCCGGAGGAAACGCACGCAGACACGGGGAGAATGTGCAAAACGTCACATAGACAGTCGCCTGGGGCTGAAATTGAACCCGGGTCCCTCGTGCTGTGAGGCAGCAGTGCTAACCACTGAGCCACTGTGGGCCCAAAACTCTGCTTCCCATCCACAAACGCTGCCAGACCTGCTGAGTTTCTCCAGCAATTTCTGTTTTTGTTTCAGATTTCCAGCATCTGCAATTGTTTGGTTTATTTTAGCAATGTCCAGCCAGCTGCCCTCAGCAAGGTGGATATAGGGGAAGCTGTGGCTGATGTGTGCTTCGATTTCCAAAAGGTAATCAATAAGTTGCCACATCAAAGGTTACTTCATAAAATAAGAGTTCATGGTGCAGACAGGAACCATTAGCATAAATAGAAGATTGATTAAGCCATAGGAAGCAGTGAGTAGGAATAAATGGGTGTTTTGCACTGGCAACCTATGACTTTTGAAACGCTACAGGGTTCAATGCTGGGGCTTCAACATTGTATGTTCTCTGTTAATCCCTTTTCTCTCTGTCAACACTAGCATTATTTTCTTTAAACAGACTATTTATTTCCTTTGATAATATATTTGCAACATCTCAGTCATTATACATTTCTATTAATTCAAATAAAAACAAGTGGGGGAAATAGATATTTGTGACTTAAACGGAGGGATCAAATGCATGGTAACTCAATTTGCTGA